ATTAGGAAGAATAATGGAGCATATGCTGAAAAAATACACAAAGCTTAGGGAATAAGTTTGCTTTAATGCCAGAAATATCTATTGTTGAAGTGTTTTTTGTGTCAAGATACTTAATGGAGCAATAATAAAAGTTAAAAAAAAATCATTTTCATAACATTTTTATTGAGCCTGGGAAGAGATGATCAAGTATCTTGGAAATTGATTTAGTGTGCTTTATGCTAGAGTTGTGCTTCAAAGATGTATTCACATCATTAAAGATATTTATAATAGAACATTGATTAATGTTAGAAGTATTTATGGAGTGATCCAAGAAATTTCAATTATGCTGAGCTTACATTAAGGATCAACATTGATTCCCTATATTTTTATATTGTTTATGGAAATTACTATAAGGAATATTTAAAATGAAGTGTCTTGGTGTATATTTTTTATAAATTTATTAGTTCTAATTAGTAAAATATCTATTGAAGTGAAATCAGAACATTGGGGAAAATATTTAGAGGATCGATATCTTAGAATCAATAAAGCAAAGCTTTCTTATATAATATTTAATTTTGGTGGGGTATGATATTGATAATTATCATTTAAAATTATTGATTGAGAAGGTGATAACTAGGCTTGATAGGTTTAAATTTTTTGATCTATTATATAAAAGAATGAATGTATAGATGAGAATATAATTTTTATAGTGAAGAATGGATGGCTATAATGGAAAATTGCCTCATGAATTTTGTATAATAAGAGGATATTATTAAGAATTAAAGCTAAATTTTATGAAATCGCAATTAGGTCGATGATGTTATATGCATATGAATATTGGGCTTTATTGTAGCCATTGATATTTAAGTGGAACAAAAATTGGAATTTTAATATGGAAATGTGATAAAATCCAGAAGAATAAATTAATGAATGATTTTATTAGAGAAAATACTAGAGTGATCTTTACTAATGATATTGAAAATTAACTTAGGTTGTTTGGACATTAAACAATGAATGGTAGAAAATACACTAATTAAATGAGTTGATAACAAGGTTTAAAAATGCTAAATTGGGAATCAAGGCATTTTGTTTTAGCGAGGCGAGGCATAAGCCTCAAAACTTGAAAATAAAATGCTAAAAAAATTATAAATAACTCATAAAAAAAAATGAAATAATTTATCAACATGATGACTTGTTTGAAAGTAAATGTTATTAGAGGATAATAAATTGGAATTAGATTCAAATTAAATGCTTACTTAAAATTTAAATACGCCCCGACGATCAAGACCCAAGGTAGTCTTATCGTCACTTTGACTTTCTTTAGAAGAATCTGTGTAGTATGTGTTAAAGTCATCTTTAAAATTTTCTTCACATATAATATTTTTTTCTTGTCCTCTATACCAATTAATATTATACTAGATATAATCTAAAATAAAATAACAAATTAATAAAAAAATCCCTTATATTTAAGATTACCTTTAGATTTTTTTTGAAGCTCTTATCCTATTTTATTTCTTCCTTTTATATACCTGTGAAATAAAACCGCTTCTAATTCAATAGACCTTTCAATGTCAATATTGATTACTTCTTTTTTCTCATAATTATAAGTCTGTCGTTCAGGTTCAACTTTAAAATTATCAGCACTTCTAGGTTAACCCATTCATCATCAAATTATAAATTATCAATAATTAAATGATCTAATTCATCATCACCAATTTTTTTCTTTTGTAATCTGATGTGCCTATTCTTAAGGTTTTTTTTTTAAACATTACATAAACAAGCTTGTTCATATGTCATGCAGCTAATCAATTCCTTTTCCTTGTATGAACTTAATTGAAGGTGTTCTAATTACGCTTACATACAAAAGCTGAATATGTTAGGCTAAGAATTTTAATTGAAAATATTTTAAGTTCAAGAACATCATCTCTAAATTAAGCTCACCAACGTTCTATATGAAATATAAAGTATATTATTAACATATATTAAAGTAGGAAGTTTTAAAAATTCAAATTTAAAATTATAAAAAATTGCAAAGGTACCAAAAGAGTATATTTTACTATGATGCACAAATACGGACACAACGACACAGATACAACAAGGACATGTCATTATTGAAAATAAAGGACACAGACACGGGTTGGACATGATATTATAATTTATATATTTTAAAAATAGTGTATAAAAATTGAATAAGTATAATATTAAAAATAATAAGTCATTTAACTAAAATTTGTGCATAAAATAATTTATCAACTTAATGACTTATTTAAATAAATTAAAATTTTAAATACGAGAGATTATATTTAAAAAAATTCATAAAATATGTAATACATGTGTGTCTAATTTGTATTTAATATTGTTTTAACCGGATACGTTTTTGGTGTGTCTGACATGTGTTGGATGCGTGCTAGATGCATGTCGTGTCGGATGCGTGTTAGATGAATGTTGTGTCGGATGCTGTAGGCTTCTTTGAGGAGAAGTGCCAGTTATCATAGATATTTTGTAAAATGCTTGAGCTGCTCTAAATCTAAACATTCTATTAAATAAAATTCTCAAGTTGTGCATTTGCTTTGAGGTAGTCACTTTCAAGAACAAGCCTGTCCATACGTGCATTCAAATTAGTTTTTACATCTTTTTCTACACGAAAATCTTTGTCGTAATGAAATTTGGGGTTTAAATAATATGAAGTAGTAGGTCGATGTTGGTGTAAATGGCGATCTACTTTTCATCTGTAATTTTTTGAAATTTCTTTATAGGCACCTTCTTGATCCCCTATATCTTTTGCGATGTTCGTTTTTAGTTTTATTCATAGCGTCATAAGTAAATTCTATTATAGGGGCCTTTTCATCATCAACCATTCTTAATACCTTAACTGAAAGGCTTATTGTCTTCAAAACATAATTTATACTACGCTAGAAAGATGTATATTTCATAAAAATCTTTTTCACTTGTTTCCGTTCTTATTTTTTGGCCCATGAACTTTTATCTCATTCTTTAGAAGCAAATATAACTTCTAAGGGCTGCCTTAACTCCTTGAATCTTTAAAGTCAAATATGCAGTTGTAAATTTAGTGACGCTAGGCTGAATAATTTTTTTATCAATATACTTTCTTATTAACTGAGCATCTAGAAGTAATTAAAAATAAATTTACTGACAAATTTTGCCTTCAACAAGACAAATTTATGTTTTTGCTTTTGTCTTAATTTCTTATGTATTAAATTAATGCAGTATGCAACATATGGAGTTCAATGGAGATACTTCTTCCACGTTAATAATCTCCCTATAATTTTATATGCACTTGAATTATATGTTACAACTTGAACCACAATATCTCTCATACTTTCTCAACAATCTTATTCAACATTTGAAACAATAGTTGTACATCCTTCACAAAAGTTGAAGCATCAACAAATTTTTCATAAATAAAGTTCCATAAGGATTGCTAACAAAGAAGTTGATGATGCTCCTTTTTTAAATATCTGAACAACCATATGATATTATGGTTACTCCTATCTCAACCCATGTCTTGTTCACTTCATCCACCATCATTTTTGTTATTTGACTTCCTCATCTAACATCTTGGTCCTCAACTCATATATGTTAGGAAGCATAGCTCCCAACATATCAACGCTTGTCGATCCATGTTGGACTGTTAGCAACATTGAATGGAATGCCATTTTCATAAAAACACCTTGCATTTCCAAATAGACTATTGCTGAGTTTCTTCGTTGCAGTTGGAGGGGAAATAGTTTGAGAGTTCATATTCTTCTATTCATCAACATTCAATACAAATTATCCATTGATCCTTGAGTGCGTCTATTAGAAGAAACTAAATGGCTTCCACTACTTGATCCTTCATGTTGGAAGCTAAAATACAAGCTATTCCTAATCATCTCTTTCATAGTTCTTTGTAAATGGAGTGGTTATCTATGCCTATTAATTAAACATACATTTTCAAGAATTGCATTTAGAAAATAAGTAAAAAAAAAAATGGAGTGGGGATTTTTTTATCTAATAAAATTGAATGCTTCCAACAATAGGAATGAACTTAAAAAGTAGAAGCTTAATCTTCAAAGCAAAAAAAAGAAGAAGATTGAAAGCATTTCAGAAATTCTTCAGTTTTAAGCACTTAAAACAAAGCTCCAAAGCATGTTCTTTATAAGTATTGCTTGAATATTATTTCTTTAAAACCTAATAATACTGAGGGATATAATCATCTTCATTGTTATCACTAAACTTACCTAATTATTTTGGATTGGCTTTATGAATTCTCATTTTCTATTTATCTTTGTTGAGTGCTACACAAGTAGTTAAACCTATTCAGAAAATCTTTTTTGCACAACCTGTATTCAAGTTTCCTTAAATTACTCTTTTTTTATCTAATCCTTTGACATAAATTTTATCTACTTCTCTCATTTGCACATCTACTAACATTTGTAGTATGTTCCCAAACTGGCTATGTCTATTTTTACTATTTCATCTTTTATAAATGATATTCCCACCATTTATCTATATAAATTATTTCTTGTTATCTTTTTTAGTTTTATCACATATTCATCCTAAAATTCTTATTGTTTTTCTCAATTATATTTATTCAATGACTTACTGCTCAACACTCATATACAAGCAACATAATTAACTTAATTTTAAACAACAATTTAACATAATTAACATAACTATATTTATAAAGTTTAGTTTGTTAGTTTATATGATATTCTATCATTCTATAGTACTTAGAATGCTTTCCCATTTCAACCACCTAGCCTCAGATCTAAAACAGCATTCCACAATGCTGAGAGATAGTAGATATTATATTTTTTGTGTGTAACATCTCTTTTGTCGGCATGCCTATGACTGGCATCAACAGCTTGCACTTTTCTTTGTTCATTCTCCACCAGCAATCACATGCTTTCAACTTATTATCAATTTGGTGACGTAGGATCGGGCATCCATTTTCTAATGGCTATCACCATGACTTTTTTTATATGGTATTATGAGATCTGGTTATATCTTTGTGTCAGGCACTCAAGGCTCTCATTTTGGAAAGGACAGGGAGGCTTGACGAAGCACTAAGTGTTTGCTTAGAGGCCAAGGAGCTTTTACATTCGAGCAATTTGAATATGGTTCAAATGGATGATCTCACCCTCAGTACTTTACAGATTGTGTTTCAAAGGCTTGATCGCTGTCTGTATTATGATGCTTTTTTTACTTTCATTAATATTCCTTTAAATCTCAAAAGGGTTTGTATACTGAATCTGATTTGATTTTCTTCTCTCCAGTGGATCTAGCCACTCAATGCTATGAGCATGCTTGTAGAAAATTCCCTAATAACTTGGAATTACTGATGGGACTTTTTAACTGTTATGTGCGTGAATATTCGTTTGTCAAGCAACAGCAGGTATTTTTTTTGTGTATGATGAGACAGTGCTTCTTGAATTTTACTTCTCTGTTAGTGATCATTTATGCTATTGTACTGTCATTTTTCGCAGACTGCCATAAAGTTGTACAAGATTGTTGCTGAAGAAAGGTTTTTGCTTTGGGCAATATGCAGCATTCAATTGCAGGTTGCCATATGGGCTATGCATTGTTTTTCTTTTAAATCTTTTATGGTTCTTTTGTCTGTTTACTAGCAATACAAGCATTAGCTTACTCTTTGCGCTTTGCATGCTGTAACTTATGACTATTGTTGATTTTATGGATGAATAGCCTTGCATTTTCTCTTTACTCCGTGGAAGCAATATAAAGTAACCTAACTGAAAACAATAATTTTTGTATAATGTTTGGCTTGTATTGATGATTCTTTATGTTGCTGTTTTTTTTGTTCGCTGCACATCAAACCTTTTTCGCCCCGTATGGGGTTTAGCTTTTATAGAAGCTAATATATGAAGATGCCCTCTTTAGGTTACAAGGTAATATATTCCTCCTTCGTCATTCTTAATCTTAGAAAAAAAAAAAAACCCCTTCAATTTTATGTTATGCAATTTGAAATTTGATATGCCAATGTTAGTTTTTGTTTTACGAGTGTTATTAACCTTTAACATGAAGAAGTGTGATAGGAAATACTTGAAATCAAGTAACTTTTACAGCAAATCTCCAAGAAAAACTGCTGTCCGGAGCAGGAAAACAGTGAAAACAGCGGAAAAACTGAAGGAAAATTAAGAGAAATTCGTAGGAAAACTTGTATTTTACTAGTAGATGCAAGGAAATTAGCAAAGATACAAGGATCCTCTATCTGAGAGGAGGATCGCACTCTCTCAATCTCTATAATTCGATCTAGAGCCCTAGCTACCAAAGAAGAACAAGAAAACTTTTCATAAAAACATGACATAACCCTAACCCCCCCTCTTTTCCCTACTTAATGCATACAATTCAAATTAGATACAAAAGGACCTAATTATCCATGCTACCCTTCCTTTTGGCTCCAAGAAAATATTTGAATTTCAAGTGGACCCCACTCCTTCCCTCTCCTTTGAGTCCGCCTGCTTCCTCTTGCAGGAATACATCCGGACCGGCCCAAGTGGCTGGGCCGGCTGGACCGGTCCTCCTTGGACTGGTCTAACATTACCTCCCTCCCAAAGAACCACCTTGTCCTCAAGGTGGAAGTCAGGAAACTGTCGCTTCATCTGCTCGTATGGCTCCCACGTGGCCTCGTAGTCTGGGAGGTTCTTCCATTTGATCAGGACTTCCGTAGCTCCATTTGTTTTCCGTCGAACCTCCATGAGCTCCAAAGGTTCTAGTATCATCTCCATCTCTTCAGTTAATGTCCCTGGTAACTCCGTACTGGTAGCATAATCCCCAATGGCTCTCCTCAGCTGGGATACATGGAAAACGGGATGGATCGTCGCCATAGGTGGTAGCTGCAAACGATATGCCACGGCTCCAATTTTCACCAACACTTCATAAGGCCCAAAATACCGTGGAGCAAGTTTCTCATTCCTCCGGTTGGCGATCGTTTTCTGTCGATATGGACGGAGTTTCAAATAAACCTTCTCGCCCACTTCAAACTGAATATCCTTCCGATGCCCATCAGCTTGTTTCTTCATAATCTGTTGAGCCCTTAACAGGTGTCTTTTTAACTCCTCCAGTGTCTTATCCCTCTCCTCCAAATACTCCTCCACGGAAGACACGGGCGTGCTGCTACTCCCAAAATACACCAAGTGGGGCGGGTCCCTTCCTTACAACACCTTAAATGGAGTCATCTGAGATGCTGAATGAAAAGAGGTGTTGTACCAGTACTCGGCCCATGATAGCCATTTAGCCCATAGCTTGGGTGTTTCTGATGCGAAGCATCTCAGATAAGTTTCCAAGCTCCTGTTGACTACTTCTGTTTGGCCATCCGTCTGTGGGTGGTACGCCGTACTCCTCTTTAGCACCGTCCCCTGCAGTCTGAACAATTCTTTCCAGAAATGGCTGAGGAATACTTTATCTCTGTCTGATACTATCGCCTCTGGCACTCCGTGTAGTCTGACTATCTCCCTGATGAAGACTGACGCTACTATCACCGCGGTGTATGGATGGCGTAGAGGAATAAAGTGAGCATATTTGCTCAATCTATCCACTACCACCAAAATCACTGTGAATCCCTCAGAGCGGGGTAACCCATCAATGAAGTCCATAGATATCTCCTTCCAGACTTGTCCTGGTAATGCCAAGGGCTGTAGTAACCCCCCTGGTGACATAGCTAGAAACTTATTTCTTTGGCAGATCTCGCACCTGGATACCATCTCTTCCATATCTCTATGCATACCTTTCCAGTACAGCTCTGCCGCTAGTCTCTTATAGGTCTTTAGCACTCCTGAATGACCTCCCACTGCAGTTCCATGAAACTCCTGGAGCAATTGTGGGATGTGTACTGATGTTCTGGGCAACACAATCTCTCCCCTTCCAATGAGTACCCTGGATGGCCTCCCTCTTCCTTCACTAAATCAGCTCTGATCTTACTTAATTCCTCATCTCTAGCACTCTCCATAAAGGTGGTCCCCCTTTATGGCTTCCCAATCTAGCATCATTGGGACTGACACAGCCACTATTTGCAGCTCACCCATGTACCTGGACAAGGCATCTGCTGTCTTATTTTCTACCCAGGGCCTGTACTGAATCTTAAAATCATACCCGAGCAGTTTGGATAGCCACCTCTGATGCTTCTCTGTCACCAAGCGCTGCTCCAGCAAATATTTCTGGCTCTGTTGGTCGGTCCGGACGATGAAATGCCTTCCAAGTAAGTAGGGACGCCACTTTTGGATGGCCAAAACAATTGCCATCAACTCCCTCTCATAGACAGATTTCATACGGGCTCTAACAGTCAACACCTGGTTGAAATAAGCAATGGGCTTGTGACTCTGCATCAACACTGCTCCTAGCCCGTATCCTGATGCATCTGTCTCCACTATAAAGGCATGAGTAAAATCCGGCAAAGCTAAGACCGAAACTGTGGTCATAGCTTTCTTCAACTGCTCAAATGCTGTCGTAGCTGCCTTCCCCCATAAGAATCCATCTTTCTTCAACTGCTCAGTGAGTTGCCAAGCTATAGTGCTGTATCCCTTCACAAATCTTCTGTAGTACAATGGCCACTTAAGCATGGCTTCAATCTTGGACTGATCTGCTGCTACCCCTTCCTTGGATGCCACATGACCCAAGTACTCCACACTAGCTTGTGCGAAGCAGCACTTCTTCAAGTTAGCCCTCAGCTGGTGCTCCTGGAGAACCTCTAACACCTTCTTCAAGTGCCCCCAGTGCTCTTCCTCTGTTCAGCTATACACTAAGATGTCATCGAAGAATACCAAAACAAATCGTCTCAGATACTGTTTGAAAATCGTATTCATGAGTGCCTGGAAAGTGGCTGGAGCATTGGTGAGGCCAAAGGGCATCACCAGGAACTCATAGTGGCCCTCATGAGTTCTAAAAGCGGTCTTGGGAACATCTTCTTTATCATTCGAATCTGATGGTATTCAGATTTCAGGTCGATCTTGCTGAAAATCACCGTTCCACTCAATTCATCCAACAATTTGTCAATCACTGGTATGAGAAACTTATCAGGTACCGTTTCCTTGTTGAGCGCGCGGTAGTCTACACAAAACCGCCAACTGCCATCCTTCTTCTTTACCAATAGAATAGGACTAGAGAACGGGCTGGTGCTGGGCCTGATGATCCCTGCTTCTAGCATTTCTCTGATCAACTTTTCTATTTCATCCTTCTGAAACTATGGGTAACGATAAGGTCGCACGCTGACCGGCGACACTCCCTCTCTTAATATGATGGCGTGCTCCTGCTCCCTTGGTGGTGGCAACCCTAGAGGGGGTTGAAAAACCTCCTCGAACTCCTGGATCAAAGGCTGAACAGAGAGGGGTATGTCTCCCCCTTCCTCTCCACTCACTCCCTCTAAGCTGTGTAATTCCACCAAGTAGCCTTCCCTTTCCTCCTGAATTGTCTTGATTAGGGATTTCAGAGAAACCTCTGCCTTGGTCAGCCCTGCATCCCCTTGAATCACCATTTTCCTTCCACCCTTCACCTGCCCCAATTGATTTTGGTTTCCCCCAAAGTCTGCAACCACTTCATCCCTAGGATGACATCCGTACTCCCCAATTCCAAGGGAAGGAAGTCTTTCTTCACTTGTATGCCTTGGATTTTCAGCACCACTCCTTTGTAGACTCCTCTTCTCATCTCTACCTTCCCAGTGCCCATCATCACCCCATAGCCTACATTATCCACTAACTTCATCCCCAGCAGCTCCACAATCTGGGTGGAAATGAAATTGTGGGTTGCCCCACTATCAATCAACACCACGACTCCACGGTTAGCTATCTCTCCCTTCACCTTCATAGTGTGACTCGGAGTGAATCCCACTACAGAGTTGAGAGAGACTTCTGCCACCTCCAGATGCATCTTTTCCTCCACCTCTGAATCGCTTCCCCCACCCTCTTCGTCTTCCTCGTCTTCACAAACAAGGAGAACTTGAAGAGTTCGATCCTTGCACTTATGCCCTGGCATGTATTTTTCATCACATCGGAAACACAACCCTTTCGTTCTCTTCTCTTGCATTTCTTTGTTAGTGAGCCTTTTGAACTGTCCCCCATTTCCTCCTCTTGTTGCTTTTTCCTTTGGAACTTCTTTCATCCCTCCCGGGGAAGCTCCCTTGGTGGTTAGGTGGGTAGTCGTCCACCTGTAAGTGCCTCATGAGCTACTACTACTCCTCGCTCCCTTCTCCAGGTTCTTTTGATTTTCGACCAACTGTGCAAGCTTCATGGCCTCCCCTAGGTCCCTGAGCATCAGGACCTTCACCGCTGCTCGCACCTCGGCCTTTAACCCCTTCATAAAATTTCCCTCCAACACCGTCTCGGACAAGCGCTCCACCCTGCTGGCCAGATGCTCAAACCTCTCTCGATAGTCTGCCATAGACCCCTCTTGTACTAGGGCAAAGAACTGCTCATAGAAATCTCCTCCTCGATCGGTTTGGAAACGCTCTAACAAACTGTCCTTGAATTCTCCCCAGCTCCGGATAGGTCTCCTCTGATCTCTCCACTGGTACCAAGAGAGTGCCTTCCCTTCCAGACGCAAACCTGCTGCCGATAACTTTTCCTCATCCGTCAATCCTTTGACAGCAAAGTACCTCTCCACTTTGTAGATCCACCCATAGGCATCCTCCCCTTCAAAAATGGGCATTTTCAATTTCTTTACCTTCCGATCCCCTCCATTCCCCCTTCCTTAAACCTCCATAGTTTCCCCTCTCTCATGTGTCTGGACCCCCCCATGTCTCCCGATCTTCCCTTGCTCTACCTTGCCCCAAACCCCCTTCAAAATCCCCTCTATGATCTTCAAACACAGTTTCCCGGTGCCCATGATAACCCTCCCGATGCTCCCAACCAGCACCTCTTGGTTCCATGCCTCCGTAGCCTTGCCTTTCCCCATATCTTCCTCCTCTCTCCTCTCTCTGGAAAGGCTCCAAATGAGGTCTTCCCCTACTTCCTTCCATGATTTCCACCTCCTCTTCCTCCCGATGGATTTCAGAGTTGGTGTTCTTCGCCGCTGGCCCTTTTGCATCAGATGCCGCCGATTGGGTTTGAAACTCCAACATCTTCATCATCATTTCCCGTAGATCAGCCACTTGCCCCTCCACGGAAGACATTCGTTCCTCCACGGTCTCCTTGATTTGATTTATTTCCCCTTCAATTCGCTCCTCCAAAGCGTCTACCTTCTTAGCCGCCATCTCTTACGGCTTGAAAATTTTGTGACGATCTCTAGATCTGAAAAAAAATTTCAGCAATTTCCTCTTCGCCGGCACAAATTTCAGCCACTGAAATTTGTCAAAAACAGCCCACGATTGGTCCCATGACGTGCTCTGATACCAATTTGATAGGAAATACTTGAAATCTCCAAGTAAAACTGCTGTTCGGAGCAGGAAAACAGCGGAAAAACTGAAGGAAAAATGAGAGAAATTCGTAGGAAAACTTGTATTTTACTAGTAGATGCAAGGAAATTAGCAAAGATACAAGGATCCTCTATCCGAGAGGAGGATTGCACTCTCCCAATCTCTAGAATTCGATCTAGAGCCCTAGCTACCAAAGAAGAACAAGAAAACTTTTCATAAAAACATGACATAACCCTAATCCCCCCTCTTTTCCCTACTTAATGCATACAATTCAAATTAAATACAAAAGGACCTAATTACCCATGCTACCCTTCCTTTCGGCTCCAAGAAAACATTTGAATTTCAAGTGGACCCCACTCCTTCCCTCTCCTTTGAGTCCACCTGCTTCCTCTTGCGGGAATACATCCGGACCGGCCCAAGTGGCTGGGCCGGCTGGACCGGTCCTCCTTGGACCGGTCTAACAAAGTGGTGGTTACTCTGATGTCCTTTTACTAATCATGTTGATCATTTTATCCTAATGTATTTTTTTAAGCCACATATAGAATGCATAGTTAGTTCGTTATTCTACTTTATATATGCTATGTTTAGTCAATCTCATTCTTGCGGTTTCTTTTGCATTGAGATTGCTATTCATATCTCTTTAGAGAGTCATGCCTGCATATTGCATTTTTGCATGCTCGTGGTTGCTTTAATGTGTACCATTTACTGTTTCTTTTACGATCATCATGGCCAAATTGGTTAGCATATGTCTATGCTTGTTGCTTGTGCAGGTTCTTTGCAGTTCTGGGGGTGAGAAATTGTTGTCCCTTGCTGAAGCTTTACTTAAGAAGCATATAGCTTCACATAGTCTGCATGAACCTGAAGGTCTGGTTCGTCAATTCTGATATTCTTGATCCATAAGTGTGTCACACCTATTTCATTTTTCATGTTCCCATCTGAATATAAAACTCTATCCGGCAGCTTCTTTTGCTGTAACAATGTTAGAAACTTCTGATTAACTTTTCAATATTAACTGCAGCTGTTGTCATGTACATTTCAATTCTGGAACAACAGGCCAAATATGAGGATGCTTTGGATATTCTTTCTGGAAATCTTGGTTCCCTTATAGGAATCGAAGTTGACAGGCTACGTCTGCAGGTAGTTCTTGCTTTCACAGCTTCCTTATTATGATGATTTCCCTTTTTCGATTGTTGTTTTGGTTCCTTTACCATTTATGCATCCTCTTCTCCTACGGCTAGTAGAACTAGAAAACTCAAGTTTGACCACCTTCTATTGGCACACAAATTGTCTTTCTTTTTATTTAAATTCCGGGAATATATTCTGATTATTGTTGTTGACAAATGTATTGCATTTAATTTGCTTAGCATTTGATTGACTAATAACTAGCAAAATTGCCAAAATCTACCAAATTAATGATAAATAATGCTACTTTGTTTGTTTATTCCTTGCTCCTCAGTATGCTGTAAACCAGTTATGAATATATTGCATTCCGCGCCGAATAAAGTTTATTGAGGGAAATTGAAACACATTTTTGTATATTGAAATATTGTATAGCTGAAACATGCAATTAGAGCGGTAATACTCTTCAGCAGGAATGCCTTAATGCTGTATTTTTCTTCCTCTAGCCATTATCTAGGGATCAGATGCATATTGGGCAGTGGTAGGATAGCTGAAAGATCATAGTGAGAGCAAGTGGAAAAGTTCTTCCCCCTCAACTATAAGCATTGTTGGTCCAACCTTGCAGCCATGACCACAATAGGGCAGATTGGCCCAAAACTGATGGAGGAGTTGAAAGCTCAATGACCTGAAGAGCATGTGAGAGGGTATTTGCAATATTGGAGACTGAATAATTTGCCATCATCTAAGACTATATGAGGAAAAGACTAAAATGGTCCTTTGACTTTTTATGAAAGATTAAAATAGTCCTCAACTATGTTAAAAGATCATTTTGATCCCTCAACTCTTTAAAGAAGAACCAAAATAGTCCCACCATTGGACTATTTTGATTTTTAGATTTGTGATACCAAAGTGGTCCTTAATATAGGTGGAGAACATTTTGGTCCTTCATAAAGAGTCAATAGACTATTTTGTTCTTTTATAAAGAGTCAAAGGACCATTTTGATCTTTTTCTCAAGATTATTATACATATTGAAGTGAGGGATGAAGTTCAAAGAGAAATTTCTCAATAAGAACCTTCTATTTCTATTTCTGGCAGATTTTTCGCATCAATAGTAGAATCTGTATTGTAGATGTTCATCCTACTTACCTTATATTAAGTATTGATTTAATATTTAAATTTAAAATTTTGGCTCATACACATGGATAATGATTGATTATCAATGTCACATATTGTAGACAGATTTAGGATATAGTATTTTATTTATAAATAAGGTTCTTATTAGTAACCAAAAAATTCATAGATTTTATGAGAAAATCCTTCTCTCTTTCTTTGGCTACCATCTTAGAAGCTTAATGATTTGTTGGGTGGGTCTAACAATCCACTGACCAAAAAAAAAAAAAAAAAGGGAAGATTCCCATTCGTGGAATAATAAGTTTTGTAAGTGTGAATCAATGATCTTTACGGATTCAAGTATTTTATGTTTCTACATTGTTTAGTAATTTGCTATCAATGGTATTAGAGCCTACAGGGCCTTGCAATCCATTTTTTCTATCTGTTTTACCTATGCCATACCCATTTCTCTCCGCTAGCAATTGTAGCACAATCTAGTATGGTTGTGAAATTGTGGTGCATCAGTTCATCCAGTGAGAGTAGCAAAAATATAGTGCACCAATGACTGTGGTGACATAACATCCGACAATTGCCAACGCGAAGCCGATAACGAAAGCGTATGCGTGCGGTAGTCATCAGAGAGAAAATCAAGCAATAACAACGAGATAACCATCTATATTACTATTCTTGGATGGTATAAGCATGTTGTTCGGGTGAAAAAAGAATCAAAGAAGGGGTACAAATGTGAGTGTTTTTACTCTTAAGAATAGGTGGAACAAGGAAAGTCACACATTTTCTTGGCAATGTCTTGATACTTGAAATTGAGGCAATGGAAGATTCAAGGTTTTGAATAACCAGGTAAGAATGACTTTGACAGGTGTTTGCCATTTTGAAAACTCAATCATGCCATCTCAATTCGAAGGGGATGAATCAAGGTGATGGAGTTTGCTGTGATATTCAATAAAGAAGAAAAAAAATGTTAACCATAATAGATAGTTGTTACCATCAAATTTAATTGCAATATTGATGCTGGAGGAGGGTTTTTTAGTCATTAAGAGGAGATTGACGGGCCATATTATTGTTGAGTGAGAAAAAATTGAGAATTAGAGAGTTAACTCAAATTATTGGGAATGAGTAATGCAGGAAGGGTCATTTAATGGATAATGAATGAGTAAGTGTAGTGGCTATTGTAGAAGGGTGTAATGGGCATATGTGGCCCTAGACAAGGATAGAATGAGCATTCATGATGTTGTAGACTAGTTTAACGAAGTATTTGTGTGTTTATGCTAATGTTGGTGAGATTGAGAAAATAGGGGGTGTCTGCATGGGTAGGTGGTATAGTTGGTGGGATTGAGAGCAAGTATATGGGTGGGTGCATGGGCAAGAGGTGTAATTGGTCAGTTTATGAGTGAGTATGCCTGCTATATTGTAATCTCGGTGGGGTTGAATTGGAGCAGCGGTGACTAGAGTAAGGCCAACCTTTCTTTTGTTCCATTTTCAGGTGAAAGAAATTTTATATCTTTTATTGATGTAGACAGGGGGGGGGGGGGTAAAGGGGGGGGGGGGGTTAAATCAAACCCAAAAAAATTGATTTTTGACTTCTCCAGCTCATTAATGTCAAGTGGAAGGTTAGCTCATTATGAACTGGTTTTTAGTTCATTTATGGAGCTAAAAATTAGCTAATTATTTCTTTGATCTTGTCTATTCTCCTTCCCCCCTTTTTGTCTATTCGTTTCCCGTGGTTGGCTCTTGGATTTTCGTGCCTTGACTCCTTGGTTTCCACGGCTGTCTCCTTGGTATCTGCGGGTGGCTCTTCGGTTCCTAGGCTGGGCTATTTTCCGTGACTAATGCGGGGCTTTTCCTATGGCTTTTGGTGCTCTGTTTCCTGTGCAAATTAAGGACTGCTGTATGGTGGCTGTTGGCCTTTCATTTCCCTCATTTAATGAAGTATTTGAAGAGTTTTTGGGGCTGTTTTTGGACAGAATTTGGGCAGCTTTTTGGGGACTGGTTTGGTGGTTGTTTGGGAGGATTTCCATGAGCATTTCTACTGTTTTCTATGCAATCCTCCTACAGAATTCCTGCAGTCTTTTGGTCTTCTTATTAGTGACTTATGACCTTCTATTTCCCTATTTTAATGGCTTTAAATATTGCTTTTAGGTGGCTGTTTGTATTCCTTCTTTTGTGCCTATAAATAGGAGTTGTTTGTGGCTGTTTTAGATATGTTATGTGAATGATTTTTGGAAATGTAAACCTGTGGGTTTCATTGGAAAAGCTTGCGAGCTTTGTCCACTTTTTCTTCTCATCTCCTCTGGAAATCTTGCGAGCTCTTTCCACCCTTCTTCTCGGCTTCTAATCTCTTTCGTCTCTCCGCAAGTGACCACCTCACCTGTATCCTTCTTCTCAAAGTAAGCAAGTTTAGGGTGTCTTGGTTGAGTCAAGTTTGTAAGTCTTTCATTTTATAATATTAAAGTTTGTTTTGTTTAAGTTGTCCTCTTTTAGTTCATTTTGGGTGTTCTTGTGTCTTTCTTTTATTTAGAAAAAGTTTGTTTTTTGTGATAAAAAATTTGGGTCCCTCTCCCAAATTTTTGATTGCATCATTTATGCAATAGAGACCACCTTATTTATAATGGAATAATTAACACAATGCACCTTGACATAACAAAATCAACATACTTCACTAACTATATATGGTAGTTTCCTAAACAAGATTTTTTATGCTCACAAATCTTTATTATATACTATAAATAGTAATTATTATTTTGAATTATAAACAATTTGAAGTATTTTAAAATTATGAAAAACATTTTCTTAATATTATGTGTGTTCTAAATGATGAGCATTTAGCATCTATAATGATAAGTCTCATTTTAATGAGTAATTTAAATTATGATGTAACTTATTATATCATATACTTTATCATGAACTGCTTTAAGTGGATTAAATCCCATTATATTTACAAGAAATTTATTATAAGAAATATAATATAAATGTTGGCATTTTAGTATTCCTTGTATATTTATGGAAATATATTCTTTTATTTATAACTAAAGAGAGCAACTGTTGCCTTGATGGTTACCATTACTTTTTCGAGAATTTCATATCCAGTAATTCCAAGATCAGATCCTAAACATATGTTCTGAATCAATTGTAGCCATTGTTAAAACTATGATCCAAACACCTTTTCAAAGGTCCTCTATAAGAATATTATGAAAATGTCTCAGTAAGGATAACTTGGTAACCAACTAAGCTTCTATTTTGGTTTGTTAGAAAATATTGCCAAGTTGAACCTCATAATTCTCCCAATTGATTGAAAATATACTAGCCCAAGTCTTTGTCTTTATATGCTTGCAAGGTCATCAAATGATTTTAAATACTTTGCAATACATGTAAAGGCATCAAAGGATACATAATGCACCGATAAAGGTTTGATGCATTGGTCTGACCCTAAGGGAGGATTAACTTTTATCCCAAGGGTTATAAACATATCATCACATCAAAAATATACTAAAGCATTTGTGACATGCAACTTGGAATTCCTTCGCTTGTTAGTTCAGTTAGGGCCCACGCTTGTTATTTTGCTTTATTTCAAAACTAGCTACTCCTACTTAAATTGAGCCTATGCTACCACTACCACTTTCTACCTAGCCATCATAGGTTTTCTCAAGCAAAAAGGCACCTCAATTTATACAAATCCAATCAATCATTGTCCTAAGTCTTCTAAGGCAACCATCAAGCCTACAGATAAAAGTACAAACTTTCATTAATTATTCATTGCACTTATTTTTATCATAATTTTTTTTTCTCATAATCATCAATCATTTATTGCTAGTTCACATATTGTATATTTTCTTAAAATGATTTATGGAGCTTTGAATATAGAAATTGGAATAATCAATGAGGAAATACA